ATTCTCTTTAGTTCTTCCCATTAGCATTAAAATTAGACAAATTAAAACAAAAGCCCAATGTCAAAGTAAGATAAACCAGTTGTATACACTATAGAAATTAGAAAATTTTAGTTGAGAAAAAGAAGTACACGCAAAGGATTTCACAAAAATGTATTTAAATTTGGCTTATTTTCAAAAGTACCATTTTGGCACTTTGTGCAAAATTGAAAAATTCAGTGCCATTTCAAGTAAAATAGTGCCAAAAATGGCACGGTTTGAGCCAAGTTGGCGGCCCTGATCGCCAAGTTTTTATTTAAAAAAGCACCAAAATACTGAAAATAGCGCAATTTTCCCCCCAAAAAAACACCAATTTTGTGTTGCTGTATTTGTATTTGTAATGGTATTTTCGCATATAAAGCTGTATGTTCAAATATTTTAAGTAATCACACAATGAAACTTGTAAATATTTCTAACTATGCGCAGTTAATCAATTTAATAAATTTAATTTGCAAAATGTTTTTTTATTCGTAAAACAATTTCCAAAACTTGCTTTTTCTAGAGGCTTTATTTTCATGCAATTGCTTACTTTTGTACAAATGCGCACACCCAGCTAATTAGCAGAATATTCTATGGATTCCGTGATAGAGACTGTGTGAAAATATTGCGTTTGGATTATCTTGGAGATTAGATAATTTTTGAGTGAAATATATATATATATATAAATAAAAATAAAAGTTTTCATTAAAACAAATTAAATTCATTAACTTTGCACATTTCAGTCCATTATTTTTAAAAATTTATAAAAGTAATAATTAATGTTTGTAATTTGAGATTTGGATAAGAATAAAATAAATAAATAATTCAGGCAGTTATTAAATATTCTTAATTTTAGTTTGGCTTGTTGATTGATAATAGAAATTAATCAAATAATTATATTAATCGTGTAATTAAAAAAAGTCAAAAATAATTGAAAATTATCAAAAATAACAAAATAATGATGTAATTAAAATTAATGAATCAACATTTTTTTAAAGTAGCTAATTATTAATCATTAAAAAGGTGGTAATATAGGTATTTAATCATTAAACGGTTATCTTAAAGCTAATTTATTCAAAATTGATGCTTGCAACAATTATATACCAAGAAATACGTTTATAATAAAATTTTGGATAAAAATACTTCCGCTCTTCATATAACGGTAAATTTCAGAAATGCTTGAAACTTCAATATTTCGAAATTTAACGACGCTAATTTTCTCAAAATGAATACACCCCGGCTTACCATGTAGCGGTAGCATTCGGAAAGGTGAAAAACATATATGGGTGTTTCCAGCGGAAGGTCCACCACGACAAAAAAAATAAAAGTTTTATATCTAACGTATTTACGGGCCGATTTGTCTGCTTTTTAAAATATATACTGGCTATGTAAGTAGAATCATGTTTGCATAAAATGGTCTTCCTAGGTGGTGCCAAGGTCGAGATATTTCGAAAAACCGTATTTATGGTCCGATTTGGTTGGAATTTGGCGTATGTGGTTGAAACATAATAAATCATAGATTTCTAATAAATTGACCCTGAATTGGCGCTAAAGTCAAAATATAAAGTATATTCTACATAAAATACATGTTTTATTTGCGTTGAAAATTCATTTAAAAGCAATATTAACAAAAATATAACGATGGAAATTTATGTCACGTGACGAACCGTCACGTCACTTTTCACACTTGGGGTTGTAAAAGAGAATTGAAACAATTTGCATTAATTCAAAAAACTCTAAAAACAACTAGAATTGCTCTAAATCATATTAAAATAAGTTTTATGAAAATAGCCATCCACAATTCGCAGAGTTTTGCGATTTTGTAAGAAAAGAAAAAATCAACTTCCATTTTTTGTCACGTAACGAACCTCTTTTTAAATGCTTATATTTCAGGACCAAGCAGTTCGATTGATTTCATTTTTCGGTTAAATATAGAGCTAATTATGTGCTATACAATGGCCCAAAAAAGTTAAAGAAAACAAATGGTATTCCTTTTTTGTATCGCATTGAAATCGTACGACTGTCACGTGCGCCACCATGGGAATGCCCATATACTTGCGCCGGGTATTTAATGTTCGGCTCCGCCCGAACTTAGACTTTCTTACTTGTTATAGTTAAATTACTAACAGGCTCAATTTCAAGTCCGCTTCTTCTGGGCGAAGTTAGCCTGAATGTTCCCTCCCGGGTATCAAGACACTTTTGTCCCCTATTTCTGAAAGCTTGCAAAACTAATTTTGAATTGCACTACCCACTCCGTTGCTTATGCCAGGGTTTTAACTCTCATTCCAGCACGTTTGATATATCAGATCCGCTTTTCAGCATTAAGAAATCGATACTGTCCTCTCTCAATAAATGAATCATTAAAATAAAGACATAAAATCGGCTGATGAATTTAATTCTGTAGCTGAGCAGTTTTAGATCTCGACACTTAACAAACTCCTGCCTATCGTGACTCGGCCCAAAAATTGAAAATACTGGTTCCGTACGTCATGCGTACTGCGCCCCTCGTGCGGATGGGCGGGAATGGAGGTTAACAACCGTTGAGATTATTATTATTATCAACCAATCTGGCCCATAAGCTATCTGCATACAAAATTTCATGCAAATACGTTCGGTCGTTTCTGCGTGATGATTTCCCAAACATCCAAACATACAAACTTTTACATTTATAATATTAGTAAGATAAGATTAGGGCGGGTCAATTTGTATGGATGGATTTTCTTCGGCATTGTTCCTAGCAGATCCGGTATCTTTATAAAATTCTAAGAAAAAAATTCCTCCAGACCATAGCCAGATAAGATAATTTTTAATTGATGCTAAGTTAATATGCAGATTAATATTTACTAAAGTATTACGAATATTTTTTTTTAATACAAATTTGTATTTGGGGGTTTTTCGATACGAAGCATTAATTTTTGATACCTAATTCTTATTTAAAGAACCGCAAGATGGCGCTACAAATCAATAGCTCAGTCAAGTTAGTTCAAAAAATAAGGTAAGCTTACAATAATAAGCATAAAGCTGAAAATTGGTACGAGTATTGCGAACACTATTACAAATGAAATGTCAAAAGTCCCCACCGATCCCACGTCAGCAAAAATAGTTATTCAAGGTCAGAGGTCACATAAATTGATTTTTTGAACTTTCTAGCAAAGCGGTAAGGTTTATCATAAAAATAGGTGAGCCGGAAGTATAGATCATACAATTATCTATAAAAACTGTTATAACATTTTTCTACCTAAGGATTACCATTTCTGAGATATAGCGATTCGAAATTGTAGTACAAGGCGTGTACTTTATAATATGCAAATCATAAATTTGTATAGAAACTTTTTGTATGTATCTCTACTTAAGTGCTCATAACTTCTAAGTTTATTACTCAATTAAGATGAGCAGGGCCTTATTGTATTAAATGAGGAATCTTGCTTTGACGTGCAGGAATCCAAAAGTTAACAGGATCTTTCATGCTGATATTTTTACCGAATGTTACTTTTTTTATTATGTAGTAAGAAAAATTCGGTTTGTATGGGAGGTAGATATGTAATATGAAAAATTTGGTTTGTATGGGAGGTGCCACGCTCTTTTTCCAATAGCTCCCATTTTCCTCCACGAGTATTGATTTCTTTATCCCCATACAGTACTTTGCAGTACTTTACCACGAATACTTCCAGAGATATGCAGTTTGAAAAACTCAGTTTCTATGGGAGGTGCCACGCCCACTTTATATATCTAAATATTTTTCAGCCTATATCCTTGGAAAGTTTGCAGTAGGTGTCCAAAATTTCAAAAAAAAAAATCGGTGAAGCCTTTCTCGAAATGTGCGAACAGAAAAACCGATTTCAAAATATATACATATTAGTATAGATTTACTTTGTAGCGCCATCTTGCGGTTCTTTAAATAAGAAATAGATATCCAAAATTAATTATTCGTACCAAAAAAACCCCAAATACATATTTGTATTAAAGAAATAACACTTCGTAACACTTTAGCAAATACTTATCTGCATATTAACTTAGCATCAATTAAAGATATCTTCTTTTAAAATTGCGCAGGCTCGAAATTAATTTTAGGGCTATGGTCTAAAGGACTTTTTTTCTACAATTTTATGTGGAATCCGGATATGTCGAAAAAAATTTACCCGCCCTAATGTATATTAAGGTAACTATATGAATGTTACTTCTTTACCACTGAAATATATGTTTTGAATTCTTTGGGAATTTTGTGGGATACATTTTTAAGATGTGGGTAATTAAGGGATTTTTCGCCGATTTTCATGGGTAATTTAGCAGAGAATGTCTGGCATCACTGCTCTGATACTTATCAATAGAATCTTATGCATAAGCGTAACGGGCATGTAAATATTATATTTTTTGTCCCAAAACATAATTTGGACCGTTTATGTATTTTGACAGTGGCATAAGTAATTTCAAGCCGTTTGACTTCAATGATCCAATACCAATACCACACAACAGGGGCGTGCCTTCTCTTTTGCCCTAGTGCGTTTTTTGATTGGATGAAAAGAGAAGGCACGCAACTGTTGCGCACTTTCGCCACAATTATAACGAGTTGTCCCTTCTTGTTATCTACGTTATTTGGTTTAGTTCAATATGAACTTCAAGATGCGTATGTACTTATGAATCATATATGAAAATATCTATCCATCGATATACATACATACGTACAAATAAAAAAGTTATTAATCTTCTCCATGTAAGTTTTAAAACAATTACATTTTGACTAAACTGCGGATTTTTATGCAGAAAACGAGTCCTACAAATATGTACCGCATAACTATAAGCGAATTGTACACAAATTTATTTATTTCGTTTAAGTTAAGTGGTACATATTTTAGGCCTCGTTTTCTGCATAAAAATCCGCAGTCTATTTATCACCTTGATAAAATAAAATACTCGAAATTTTACCTCGTCACACGAATCCGAACTAGTTGGATTTTCTAGAGCCAATCGTTCTGCAAAAGATACAATACCGCACCATGTACGAAAATTGATTTCTTTGGACGATTTCTCCTTCTCATAATCCAATAAACGCAAAATTTCCGATATATTTTTTTCGGTACCGTAGAATTCTAAAACGTCCTCTAATGCCTTGGGTAAACATGTCATTGGTATTCTACGTTCGACATACTCATTTAAAATGGGCATACAGTCTTCATCGGCATTTCCACTCATTTTTGAGTGATTTGCATCTGCCACTTCTTCGGATTTATTGACTTCAGTTGGCAAATATTGTAGGAAAACACGTTTAAAAAGCTGCTTTCGTTGACTAGAGACCCATACATATTGCCCAAGGTAATCCAAAATCGTCATTTCTAAATTAAACGAATGATTAGATGAAAAAGTTGTATAATAAATAGTTTAGACATGACGGTAACCTTCCAGTAATTTAAGATCTAACGGTACATCGAATCTGGTTGCAGACTTTGACAATTTACGTGGCAATTTCGACTGAGATGTGAATGTGGGGGTCTCAAGATTTTCAGCAACTTTTTGAATCGCTTTTGGTTTCTTTTCTGGCAGATACTTGATTGCTTCGCGTAAAGCTCGACCCAACTAAGTTATATAGAGGAAATTCTTAGTAATTATGATGGCATGTCACATGCATACAGATATGTATACATTAGGGTGATTCAGAAATTTTTTTCTTGTTTTTTCCTCGGAATCATGCTCAAAAGTTTCGTTGAGCCGTCAAAACAAATCTCAGAAAGTATGAGCCCGCACTTTTCGATTTCCCATAAGAAGAATACAGAAAAAATTGTTGATTTATCGAAAAATTACTTCAGACCTTTTTTGTAAAACGTTCAACTTTCTACAAAAATACCCCAAAAACCTTTACAGTACAACGTATCGTTCGTTAAATCAGCAGTAAACAAAAACACTTTTCGATTTTCTATAAGAATAACACAGGAAAAATTGTTTTTTTTTTACTTCTGATTTTTATATTTAACGGACTATACATTATACTGCAAAGTTATTGAAGTTTTTTGTAGAGAACTGAACGCTCTGCAAAGAAGGTCTGAAGCCATTTTTGGACTTTTTCTTCGACTAAATTTTGACCGAGTACATGATTTCGAAAATGGGGTTGACGACTAGGTTTCAGAAAGCATGAAAAAAGTGTATACTTACATATCGTCGCTTAAAGTACAAAACCGCGTATCGTCGTTCTGCAAAACCGCGTAACTGACATTTGCTCACACAAGCCTTATCCATTCGTCCTGAAATGCGATTTCTTTGTAAAAAAAGAGAACCATTTTGAAGTTGTGCATTTTGTTTATACACGGTTTTGTACTTTAAGCGATGATCTGTTAGTTGTTTATCGGGGGGCGGTCTATTCAAGCCGACTTCAGGTGTTTTGCATAAATTAAAAATTTATGAAATTTAATGATGACGCGCTAATCACAAAGCCAAATTTTTTGCAAAATCTTATGAGAAATTTAAAAGTAAATTTGAACCAAAATATAAAAAGATTTATTTGGGAAGAACATTCTTTAGAATTTGATTTTTAAATCGCACGATTGCATTAAAATAAGAAAACAAGAAAAATAAAAGAATAATGCGCGCGTGGTTTTTATTACAAAATGAAAAGAATAATTACGATGAAGCCTCCTTTAACAGTTTACATTTTAAATATTTTTAATAACAAAAGGTGCCAACCACGTAAGTAAAAAAAGTACCAAGCACTGATACTGGTTTTTGATTTGAAATTTTATTACATTGGTATAAATATGGGAAAGAAAATACTCCGATTTATTGTTTTAATATTATCAAAGTGGCAAGGCCGTTGAGTATACCCACAATTTATGAAACTTCAAAAAATTTTATTATCCGTCAAAAGTTGTTTATTGAAACTACCTTCTTTTTTGTATCATGGCACCCATATATGTAATACTTCTATATTGGCAGTAAGCTAACTTCTCAATGTGTAAGCATTCCGAAATCAAAGCGAGACAGTCTAGTACCGTTTTTGTCAACGTATTGTGTACTTGAGTGCCGTTTTTGTATATGTGTTGTGTACATGTTTATTTATAAACGTATGTGTTCCTTTTCTTTCGTACGTGTTTATTGATATATCTGTACTGTAGTGTTTTCGGACGGTACTAGCTCTTACTGCCAATATAGGAGTATTACACGATCCAGAAAATAAAGGTCGCGCCATTCGCGGACCGCTAACCCTCTCTTCGTCGATTTGACAGCATCCACCCAATCGCTGACGTCATAAAATACTTTTGTTTACATTCACTGTTGCCAACTTGATGCTTTTCGCACCAAATTTAGTGGGTATTCAAACCGCGAAAATTTTTGAGTTTTGTGCTTGGTGCGTTTTTGGTGCTTTTGATTTTAGTTTGAAGACACCAAATTAGAAAATCTTAAAAAAAATTAAGCAAAATTTATAGCAATCGTAAGTGTGGTGAGCAATTTTACAAAAATTTAAACAAAATCATGGCACAGTGACAATCATAAGTGACAAAGAAATATGTGGCAGCACCTTCAATCATGCCAGAAGAAATCGACCGTTGTGCAAGAAACATTGATTTTTGAATCGGCATCCTTGCAATAAAATTATATATTCATATAAAGTCCATAAAATACACCAATAAAAATTTGGTGCTTTTTCAAAGTCAAAACTTGGCAACACTGCCTTTTGGTCGATGCTTCCTCTTTTTCTTGTCGAGTTCGTCTTGCTCTCTCATTCTGGTATTTTTTGACGTCACGGCCAGTTGCTCTCAGCTCGATTGGCGCAATCTTGTATTCTATCATTCTTGGGAGTATTACATATATGAAGGCACCATGATTCAATAATAAAAGGTTTGCTCAAAAAGCAGTTTTCTCGCTCCGTCTTGACAAAGTCGTCTTCCTTAAGGCTGATTCACATACAACTTTCTTCGCTTTGCTTGATAGTTCTTTGCTTTGACGTATAAGATCGATGTAGGCATATGCATGAGTATGCTCACATAAAAAACGTTTGAAGCAAAGCAAAGCAAAACGAAGCAGAATCTTGGGCAACTCTCAAGGCCCGTTTACATAGAACTTTGGCGTTGCGTTGGCGTTGGCGTCGCTTCAACAGCTGACTATGAATACATGAATTCAAATGCAGCCGTCCACATAGCCAAAATTCGACAACGCTCACGCCAACACAAAGCAAAAAGATGGCCAACTCTCAACTTTTCGCGTGCGTCGCTCGTCAGCTGTTGCGAATAAATAAAATTATGTGAAATATTTTTCCTTTTTAATCAAGTGCGGGCAAGAAATATCGTTTTTAATGCAATTATTGATATGAAATATTAATTTATCTGTCGTTAATATGTTAATTTAGTGGCCCAAGGATTCGCCGCCAAGCGTTCATTGTAGCAAGCATTCTTTTAACGTGCGTTCTGTCAAACCAACGCCAACGCCAACGCAACGCCAAAGTTGTATGTAAACGGGCCTTCAACTTTTGCCCGCTTTGGCAATCAGCTGTCTACATTTATCTTTTCTTGTGCGCTTGCATTTGCTTTTAATGACAAAAATAGGGTAAATAGGAATTTTTATTGCTATTATTAATGCATATTATTATATTGCTATCTATTTTACAGATAAAAAATATGGAGGAAAAGGAGAACGCAAAAGCTGCCAAAGCGTTTATTGTAGCATACCTTCTGCGTTTCGCGCTTTGTTGTCAAAGTTTGAACTGTCAAGCAAAGCGAGGAAAGTTGTATGTGAATGGCCCCTTAGCAAGGCACTGTGTGTGAGTTCGTGTGTGTGTGCAAAGCTTTTGTAAGGGAGCTAAGGGAGTGTCAAAACTCTAATGTCAATAATGAGCAAACCTTTAATTATTGAATCATGTCATGGCACTACCATTTTTGCTTTTGCTTCGCTTTGAAATTTTTGATTTCAATTCCAACTGCTTTGATTTTGCTGTGACTTTGAAAATTGTATTTTACTCTTTAATCGGCAGCTTAGTGAAACTAATTTATTGCTATTGATTTGCTATGATAGTGCTTTTGCTGTGCAGAGATCTTCTTGGCTGTGCTATTCAAATTAAGCATTGTAGCATGGTGTATTATCGTTGAGTCGCCAGAAGTGAGTAATAGTCACAAAATTTGAGATACCAATTCAATTGCCTAATGAATTAACGATGTCATTGTAGCCTATAGAGCGGTACGCAAGCGATCTGGTGCAAAATTGGCGATTACCAACCGCTAGCGAATTGCCTAATAATCGGTAAGGCATGGAATATTTAGCGTATGGCCGTTTCTTGTCACCAGTAGAACTGAAGGGTAGTCATTTGTCCATGCATACATATTTCTGTCAATTTGATGCTTCACAGCCAAGTGATAATCAAGTTTTTGTTGCTTTGCTGTCGCTGCGCTGTCGTTGTACTTTCACAAATTGCTTTTTAACTGTCTGGTTGCTTTCGAAATTTCACAGCAAACCGACAGCCAAAGAATTTGCTTTTTTCTGTATTATTGTTGCTTTGCTTTCGATATCATACATGCCGAAGTCAAAGCACAGCAAAAGAAAATTAAATGATAAAATTATAGCATTTTGAAATCCTGCTTTAGACACTTTTTGTAAAGCGTTCAATTCTCCACAAAAATACTCCAAGACCTTCACAATATAACGTATCGCCCTACAAAAAAGGTCTCAAGTCATTTTTCGATAAGTCAACTCGGTCAAAAGTTATTCCAGGTCAAAGTCGAAAGAATGTTGAATTCGTGGAGCGTTCAATTCTCTTCAAAAATACTCCAAGACCTTTACAGTACAACGTATCGTTCGTTAAATATCAAAATCAGAATTAAAACAAAAAACAATTTGTCCTATGTTATTATTATGGGAAATCGAAAAGTGCGATGCGGAAATTCTTAATATTAATATTAAGCGCTCATATTTTCTGAGACTTACTTTGGCGTCTAAAGGAAACTTTTGAGCATGATTCCGAGGAAAGAGAATATACAAAAATTTTCTGAATCACCCTAGTACACCTCCATATGCACATACATATACATAGTGCATATACTTCTATATATGAGACTTACATATC